TACCTAACCTAATCCTAATCACTGTAAAAACCTAATAACCGGTTTTTACTTTAAAAATAATAAACCGGTTATAACCGGGACAAAAAAACAACCGATGAAACCGGTTATTTCCAAGTAAAAAACCGGTTTTCGGTTAAAACTGGTAGGTTTTTCCCATCCCTACTTTGAAATGATTTTAAATTTATATTTTCTTCTTTTATTTTTTCTTCACAATCGGAAATGCTTAGTTTTTTCTGCTGATATTTTTGCGGAATAATTTCGGACACAACTGATATTTCTGGAGTTTAAACAGGTGAACTTTGTCAAAATGAAGACGATTGTTGTAATTGCTCTCCATCTTTAGTTAAGATGGAGAGTTATGTTATTTTCATTTGTTTTGTTATTTTATATAGATCTGCTGTTCGTTTTATTTTTTCACACCAACTTATTTTTTTATTAAAACTCATATTAAAGATGTAAAATAATTTTCGACGAATAATCAACGTCTGTTTTGACTTGCAATTCTTAGAAGGTACGGATTAAAGCAAAACTTTGAATTGGTTTCGAAAATTAGTTTACGGATTTAATATCAGATGTCGCTATTTGCGTCCATACGAAGCCATGTTAGAGTTGCTTCCTAAGACAGGAGAGATTTATCTTCACGTTCAGAGGGACTGTGAGTAGCCGTTTTAAAAAGCAATTTTAGGAAGAAATACGTATAAGCGGATACACAGACGCACTGTATGTAAAATCAAATCTTTACTGTCTTTTCCTTTCATTTTAAAGACTATGTACTAAAATGAAAGAAGAAATGATATTCAATTAAATTTATTTTACTTAATACCACAGCGACAATTTATGGTATTTATAAGTATATATTATTTTTATTAAATAATCCAATATTAAAAAAAAAATTATAATTGTCTTAATCATTAGAAGATATTAATTAGTCCAATTACTTCTACTTAGGATCAACAGTAGTTGTTCTAGCCTTCTGGTGAACTTGCGGTAGCCTTAACGGTTTTGGCTTAGGTGCCTTTGGTTTTTCCGTAGGACTGCCTTTTTTTATTTTTTCGCTTTGGTTCGAGTTTTTACTCTATAAAAGTCGGACCTGGAGATGTAGATGACGCAGTTTTAGGAACTGACTTCTTTTTAACTTTCTTGACCTGGTCGGTTTTTCTGTTTGATGCTGCTTCTTTAGCTTTAGTCACTTGCTTGACAGATTTTGCCTTTTCGCTGGTAACAGGACGTACGGCGACAGTAGCAGTTTTTATTAAGTTTAGTTGTTTGTTCAGCTTGCATTTTTCTCCCGAACTAAGCATTGTCGATCTAGAACACGATGAGATAGACGCTAACTTAAAGATTCTGACGCTTATTTTACCTTCGTTTACACCAACGATCCAGTAGCAACTGCAGCTTATAAATATTTTTTGATAAATGGTTTAACTTTTTCCGCATCTACTTTGTAATTTGTAGTGAAACCCTTCTTGAGAGCTTAAAGGTAGGATCCACCTCTTTTTGGATTTTTGGCCTTCTTTTTATTTTTGGGTGGTAAAGGTGTTTGTGGCGCTCCTGATTCCGATGTAGATTAAGTGGCTGATTATTATTTTTCTATGTTTAGAAATTGCACAAAGTATTAACTATAAATCCAAAACAATATATTTGCAATCAAGCCTGGGACTTAGATCTTAATTGCACAATTTTCAATCAAAACTCACATAAGATACAATACGTTACTTCTGGAAGACTAATTTAAATAGTTACGTTTGACTTTTTAAACTCTGTTCGGACGTTGTGTGGACGTTCGTCCACACTTGTCGACTTCATCAGATAACGATTCGGCATAACTAATTATAAAATTATAATTTTCGGTCCTCAAAAACTACGGGTCTTAGGCACGTGCCTGTGTTGCCTGGGCCTTAGTCCAGCCCTGCGGCAAGATAGAACTGCCCAGTCAATAACGAAATCAAAACAAATATATGTTGGTTACTGAGGGCCCCACAGCAAATGAGGAACGGGAAACAGTCTTTGGACATTCGACTTTGGACAAAAATTAAAAGACAAATATACCTTAACAAAACCTAAGCAATAAAACAAAACAAGTAAACAAATAGGGTATGCGAAGAAATCAAAAATAAATCACACTTAAAAAAACATCTAAAGAACTAAAATAATTATATACAAGACACTGCTGAGGCCGCTCCTTACATATGGGGCAGAAATATATACTTTAATGCAGAAGAATACAAGACTTTTGCGACTATTTGAGCGTAAAATACACAGCAAAATATTTGGAGCTACAAAGTAGCAAAAGCTGCGACGTGAAAAGATAAAACTTATTATTATACCAACTCTTTAATGAACCAGACATCTACGTTTACTTAAACACAGCACACATATAATACAAATAATAAAACACATATAATACAAATGCCAGTTAACACGATTGTTAAAAATATAACCACATAAACACCTGTAGAAACAAGAAGCAGAGGCCAATCGCGAATTAGTTGGTAAGATGAAGCTATGATCGACTTCGGGATATTAAAAAGCAGGAGGCAACAGGTTGCCAAAAATCGAACAGAATGGCAACGACTCTTGGAGCAGGGATGTTACAAAAAAAATTGTTGTGCAGAAGATGGTTATAATAGTTTAGAATATATTTGTTAAAGTCTTTCTTATTTTCAGCAGCTTATAGATCGACAATCAATATAGAAGCGACGCTTTGTTTGAAAATGTTTAATAACATATGTCCTAAAAGTTAGGCACAAAATAATAATGGGATTTTTTTACCGAAGAACTTTATTTGAACACCCACTATTAATTATAGATAAAAACTCAATAGTTAACTAAAATGTAATATCAAATTATGTGGATTGGGCCATTTCGCTCTACCAGACGAAAATTTTTTTAAATGTCCCTCATGGGGTAATGGGCGGACTTCTCTCAGTATATCGTAAATTTGCCATCTTAGTTATTCTTTACGTTGGGCCTTTCAGCTTAAATGATAAACCTTATTAAACAATACAGCCCAAAAATCCTTCATTGGGCGATTTTTCTGTTTTGAGGATTGAGCGATGTTTGGAGGATTATCGTTTTTGGAAATCAACGGTAGGTGGTGTTGTGGAAGCCAATTTTGGGCATCTCTTGAGTAATGGCATAATGCTAGGTCTAGATAAACCATGATGTCGTAATAAGCATAGTATTCTTTGACAAACTTAAGTAATTTGGGAAAGCATTTATTAATAAAAAAAAGATGTTAGATCTTTGTAAATATTTAAAAAACCATTATAAGGGCTACATCAAATTACACGAACGTTTTTGGAAGAATAATTCCATCATCAGGTTTAAAAATGCAAGTTAACATGCCTGAGCCACCAAAATATCGGGGTAAAAACCCTTTTTAATACATAATGTTACAAAAGATTGTACATAATGTTGTTATTACTATTTAATGTTTAATATTAAATTAAATTTAACTTTAGGTAACATACACTAGTGTAATTTGATTTAGCCCTTTTAAGGATTTTTTAAATATACCCATTTACAAAGATCTAATCTCTTTTGTGTAATACGTGTTGTGGATTCAGTTATTAATATAGCTCTGACTATTCAAAATTAGTTAGTATATAAAATAAAATTTTTACTTCAGAGAATACTGCTGTCTAAGAAATATCAAATTTTATTTAATGGTCGAACAGGATGGGGCTATTTACCATACCACGAGAGAATCCTTTAGTTGCTTAAATAAAATTTTGTAAACCGAGTCATTTTCCATATTACGGATTCTTGTTCTCATCTATTTTTCCTATTTTATAATTATTGCTGGTTTATGCTGAAATAAGGCCTTTTATGAAAAACTCACCAGAAAATATTACTGAAGTCATGAAAATTGTTTGACCCATTTCAGAAGAATTCAGCAGTCTATTGTTACAAACATGCTCTACATGCAGTCTTGCTAAACGTTATAATGTACTACCTGAACCGCAATGGCGAGCACATTAACCACATTTTTATCACAGAAAAACTTTAAATTCGAGTTACATAAAATGTGATTTAAATGTTTTATGTTTAATTAAGCTTCAGTTTACAGCGTTTCTTCTTTTACCGCGTAGTGTATTTTAACCGCCAGATATTCAGGGTATCAGATGTAATCTCTTTTCCGCAGCGTTTGTAAAGTTTATAAAGTTTATAGCGTTTTAAAGCTCTTGTATGTTATTTTTACTAGTTTGTCCATTATTACCTGTGAATAAGAGACAGCAAAAAAAATCGGCATACTGTCTTAATTAAAAAAATCTTTGATGTGTTAAGGCGAATTGTTGATAGTGTCCTTTCCTCAAATAAATGTATATTATCCTTATTTGTATATTTTGTGTTATATTTGTTCAAAGAAAATATAAGTATGCACCTCTTAAAAACATCAAATGGGCTTAGCAAAAACGTCCCATTCTTGCAAATTAGCTAAAGACGCCTATCGCAGAACGCGTAGGAAACCTTTTTGATGTCGTGAAGCTCAAAGCTTTCCATTTCGTTGTTGTTAATGGAGGAATTTTCACCCAGCCAGGTAATTTGCTATTTTAAAAATTCTCTAAGGTCTCGCTAAGTAAACGTGTTACAAAAGAGATCGTTATTTAAGAAAAGCAAATTTAAAAATAACCATGCTAGAAATGTACTTCACTCGCAACATTCAGGAATATAAACATTTAACAGATTATTAAAGAGATATTAACTTTTGGTAATAAAGTCTATGATAAAAATTATTCGTTGTATAAATAAAATATGTTAAAATTCTTATTCGAAAATTTAAAACAAAATATTGCCGTCAAATAGGGACTTTTAACCACAATAAAACAAATAGGAATCGAACAACTACACTAAATTTGATTTAAAAGATTAATTAATATATCATCATACTATATTGATAGGTACCTGGAATATCATTTAAATTATAACACAATTAATAAAAATTGGATAATGAAATAACACTGCTATATACAGGTTTATGAAATTTTGTAGACAAGATGGTTACGAAAATTATCAAATTCGGTTGGGCTAAACCCGATGCCTCCGAAACACAAGTTGCACAATCTTTGCTTGTACTGAAAATAAACTCCAATTTAAAAGCTCAGCTTAGAGAATTACATATTACAAAAACTAGAGAAATGCAGTTAAATAAGAAGCGCATAATTATTTATACTTCAATGCCAAAATTGAAACAATTCCAAAAATTTAAACTATACTAGTATGAGAATTGGAAAATAAGTTTAGCTGCAAACACTTAGTATTTGTAGGTGAACACAAAATTTTAACTCAACCGACCAGAAAAATGCATACTGCCAACAAAAAAAAAAATAAGGTCTCGTACATTGACTTCAGTGTATGATGGTATCTTAGAATATCTTGTATTCATGCAGAAATAATTATAGGCCAGAGGATTCGTGTAAGATTAGAGAGATCACAACTTATTAAAGTTTATTTGGACAAAAACCCACAAACTACTATCGAACATAAGGTTGACACTTTTGCTTCAGTTTACAAGAAGCTTACTGGTAAGAAGGTAACTTCCAGAATCCTATTTGTAAAGCAGTGAATTTAAAAGAAACAATTAAAGAGGGAATAAGTAGAATAGCAGAATAGAGAAGGATATGATTACCGATACTAAAAAAAGATAATTATATAATATCAAGGATACGCAATTTATAATTTAAAAATAATAAAAATATGTAAGATAGATTAAGCAGAAAATGAGAGCACGTGAGTTCCTAACTGAGACCCGCCAGTGAACACCTGATGCACGAGTGACTCACGAGACACGTTATAATATATTATAAATATAATATTATAAACGCAAATGTCAGAGCATTTTCTTAAATCTAATAGTTGGTTTTCTACTACCTTTGAAAGCGTACTTCAAGCCAAATAATTTAAAAAATATTGCCTATAAAAAGTGAAATCTGGTAAGAAACTTTTTTAGTCAAACTATCATAAAAGAAACTAATATAATTGGTATTTAAAATGGTACAGCACGCTTTCACAATGCGGCTCGCAAGAAAACTAAGGGCGAGCGCCCACCAAAGTGGCGTGGCAAGTAGCACGTAGCAAGTAGCACGCGTCTAGCATGTTTCTTAAAATGTAACCAATGAAAACGAATGATTCAGCGTACACCAAAATGACAGTGACGTCATTCATTCTAATCATTCGTTTTCATTGGTTACATTTTAAGAAACATGCTAGACGCGTGCTACTTGCTACGTGCTACTTGCCACGCCACTTTGGTGGGCGCTCGCCCTTAAGCTTAAAAGTAGCAGGACTAGCAGGTACATTTAAAATTTGTCTAGATTATTTATTTAATGGAAATAAATCACTGGAATTTATTAAACATTCTAAAATACCATGTTATAATTCTATTACCATATATGTCTCAACGATGATCACTTCGCTCGATGAATCATTATTATTTGGCAAAGATCATTCTTGAAGATAATGTGGATGTAGAAGTTGTAGAAGCACAGGACTAAATTTTTCACCGACCCTTTCTTGAGCTATTGCGTAATAGCCAATTGTCATAAATTAAAGGTCCATAATTAAGTGTGTGTTTATTTACCTAATGTTTGTGTTTCTTGTTTATGTTATTTCACATTACATCACATCAATAACTTATTTTGTATTTCCTGTCTTTTTCTATAACAAATGAATATTCATTTATTTTTTCATTACTTGAGTAGAAATTAATTTCTTGTCTTAACTCTTTATTTCGCTATTTATTAAAGTTTGTACATATTTTCACTCATCTCAGAAACCTCATTATTCTGCTGACTGATTTCTCTAGTTACCTTTTTATGTCTAATAACAGAGTAGTTGTAGTAATTTTCTTATAACCTTTTTTTTATTTTAACTTTTTTTTTCTATTCTTTTGGTTCGAGTATACACTGATCAAATTTTTAATCAACGTCTCTATCTTTCTTAAGACCTGTGTTCTGTGTAACATTAACAAATTGAATTGAGTTATTTGTTCCAGTGGGTAATCTGTAAGTACTCTTGTTGTTCTTGTTGTTCTTGTAATGTGGGATAATTACCTTTAAACACAATAGTTTTTCTCCTATTTTAATTACCAATAGTAGATTTACTGATTGGTAGACAAATATTATATCATGGATTTTGATAAAATTAAAATTTTTTGCAATGAATGTAATAAATTCAAAAGTACGTTTGTAGAAAGTTGTATATTAGCAAAAGTAATAATAACAAAATCTTCGAAAATTCAAAATCTAAGTAAAATTTTAACCAAAATATTTCTAAATTTATTTGCCAAATACATAGTACCATTTTTTCAAATATCTGTGAATAATAAAAAAATCCTTTTTTGTTATTAAATCTTTTAACAAATTTTGGCAAAATCAAGGTTTAAATTCGTGACCTTAACGGTTATTTGGACGTAGTTAAGCAGAAAACGTCCAACCCAAAAAAAGTGATTGTTGGGAAATTGAGTTTAAAAGATTTTAGTGTGCCCTAGCTAAACTATGCATAATTTATTCGCCTGGCAATGATTTTAAGATAATGATATTCATCTCGTAGGCACCTCGTTTGTAATTTCTTTTAAATGTAAGTTTCAATGAAGTTATTTTGAAAATTTTAGGTTGGACGTTTTTAACAAAAAACAAAAATCCGAAAAAAATTTCGATAAAACATACTTATGTGGGTTGGAATCTTTCAGATAAATAAATAATGTCATATTTTTATAAAAATTTTAATGATCCAAAGAAACAAAATTACAATGATTTTCTTATGTAAATGTAAATTTAAAAAAAGTTTTAATTATTGTGGGTATCTACCTCAAAATCTAGAACTGGAACATTAAATCCATCAACGTCTTCGACTACATTAGCACTTGTAAAATTTTCATAAAACGGTTTAGCGTCTGAAGGAATTAGATGTAAATAGCTTTTAATATCGTTAATTTTATCCTCTGACAGGGGTTTACCATTGGGCCAGAGTTGCATAAGCAGCGCGAAAAGCTCTCTGTATTTAATCGTCCTCGTCGCTCAATATCCAAACATACACTTTCATCGCCAAAATAACTAGGTTTCATAAAGATGTGGTAAGGATTTTCTTTTGTTAATATAATTTGTTTTGTCTCCAACCAATTTATTTTTTCTTTATTGGTGCCAACTTTTCTGTTTATTGTGGCCTTCTCGAGCTGGTGGGTACTCAAAAACCATTCCTTTTTCATTTGTGTAGCTGTTATTGGAGACTTTTTACGACATGAATTTATTATATTTATATAGTCTAAAGGTGTATATATTCGTTCTTGACGTTTGAGTTGACATTCTATATCCCCAAAATCTTTATCATTTGGTAGAAAACTATGGCCGGAAATCAGGAATTTAAATGTTATAGTTTTTATATTATGGCTGGTTTGAAGAAGACTGGCCATGAGGAGTGTTATTTTAATATTACGGTTCTGGCCTCCACAAGAATCAGACCACAATATAAGATGTTCAACAGTACTTTCTATGTTTTCTAAATATTTTACAATACAGGAACCAACCTCCTGAGCTCCTCTTCCAGCAGTTCCTTCAAGCCATACATAGGAATAACTCTTATTACGTTTGCCTGAAAATACACCGAGATTATACAAGCAAACTTGCCTCTTATAATATATTACATTGGTTGGAATTTTGGGTAAAGGTAGAGTTTTTTGAAGATCGTATGTTAAACACTCTACATTATCCTCATCTTTAGCTCGTTTTAAATCTGCCTTTAATGTTTCTCGTGATTTTTGGGCCAAATCCTGATGAGTGTCGAGTTCAATTTGTAAAAGTTGCTTTTTATGATCATCCGTTTCATTTTGTAGTTTTATTTTAAATGAATCACATACCTGGCATGTGTCCTTCTTGGGAACATTAAATCTCAAATTAAATTTTTCGTAAAAAATCCTCTTATAAATACCAAATTTCACAGGGTTTTGAACTTCAGATTTGTATAGATCATAAATCTTTAATAATGAGAGATGTGCCGGTAAAAATAATGCAGACGTGTTTTCACGACAGTAGTGCGATATGTACTTAGGCAGTTTATTGATCTGGTTGATTATTTCCTGAATTTTATTTTCAGGGACTTTGTTTAAACCACCTTGTTTTCTACCTCTTTGATCAAGAATTGGAGCACGATTGTTTACCTTTCTCAGAGCTGTTGTTACTCTTGACGGAGTTATTCTAAGACTATTGATAAACATTTGCCTATAAGTAAGGAATATTGTCTGGAATACAGACGTCTTTCAGTGTTTCTTCCATACATTCTTTTTTTCGGCATTTCGTGGATATTATTGGCAATAAAGATAGTTTGGGCATTATAAGACCCAAGACTCCAAAAACGATCAAATTCTTGTTTTCGTGACTCTGTAGAAATCAACTCAGAACATTTCATCGGGCAGTTACAATTGTAGTCATATTGAAATTCTTTAGCAGCTTTCAATTTTCCTTTGTAGTCAATGTAAGATTCATTTTTGTTCCTATTAATCTTTGATGTTGCTCGCGTCATTGCAAATTTCTTTTTTCTACCCTTCTTTGGACGACCTGATGTACTGGCTAAAAATGGATTATCATCACAACTTTCATTGTTATCGGAACTCTCTTCATGTGACGATGGTATAAACATATCAGAGGAACCGCTACTAAAGACATCACTTATTGACATATTCTGTAAGAATAAAAAGGTAGGTATTATTAGATAATATTTTAAATAAAAATTTCAAAAAATTATAGAAAGCGTCTATTTTAATTAAAGAAGTTAACTTTTAATCAATTACCAGGTACCAAAAAATAAAACAAATTCAATTCATTCAAATTAATCTTTTTCATAAAGTTTACTATAGGTACTCATCGAAAAATAATTTTCATATGCTTTACATTATTGTATAATTACTTTAATCAATAATAATTGATGATCATAATAATAGGTATCAATTTAACATTGGTATAATAAGATTAATACATATGTGTTTACAAAATTGTGTGTACCTAAGGAAGTTGTATTTTTTCTTTTAGATTGTAACAATAGGTACATCAAAGTTTAGTTTTCATTAAATAGAAATAATATAGCGAATAGCATTATAAAGCATTTTACTAAACAGTATAGGTACAAAGATTTAATACTTACATCATAATCATCAACAGAATCTATGGTAGAAGCTGATTCAAAACATCCAGTTTTCTCGTTTAAAACCATTTCACGAATACGACTA